ATGTCATTGGCTAGTTCTGTGGGGAGCCGGCGGGAGCGCCGGTGCATGGGGGCAGGAGGGGAGCACGCCCTGTCTTTCCCCTGAGGCACAGGAGCCCAACGGGCGCTCCGGTTTCATTCTGGTTCGTTAACCCTGCAGGGGAGGGAGAAGTCAGCCCGTTTCTGCTCATTAGAATCTCTGCCCACAGCCAAAGGAGCCAATTAAAATCCTCGACTCCAGTGCAGCGGGGCGCACGCTGCGGACGGCTGCACTCACAGCTCCGGGGTCTGCTCCATTTGGCTGGGGAGCTCCTGCCCCCTCCCCTCCCAATACTCCCTCCCCTGCCATGTCTGCAACAGGACGGTGAAATCCCCCATCGGCAGAGCCCCCAATTCAGCAGTGTCATCACCGCAGCGACCTGCCAGGGCACTGGACAGGAATTTACTCTGGCGCAGCTCTGGGCTCCTCCCCTACCCAGCCCCACGGTGCCGTGCTGGCCTGGCCCAGGCGGTGCAGTGCAGACCCCGATCCGCCCCCGCTCACCTGTAATACTCCACGTAGCCCACCTGGCCGGCCACAGCCGTCAGGTCAACGCTCACGTCCTGCCAGACCGGCAGCCCCGAGAGCTGCAGGACGATGTTGCCAGCCATTTGCTGCAGGAACTTCAGGGTCTGCACGTAGTCGCCCCGCATGGCGAAGATCTCGTTCAGCCGAGCCAGGTGCTGCTCCAGCCCCACCTTCATCTGCACCGTGGTGCCCGAGACCTGCCCAGGGGAGAGGAGCAGGAACAGTGAGCGTGGCCCCTGCAGCCCGTGTGCTGCCCCATCCCACCCAGCGCTGGCCCAAGGGACCCCCTGCAGGACAGAGCCCGTGGGAGCGGTGCCCACCTCGGCGGGCTGTGCAGTGACGGAGAATCAACAAGCCGCTGACGAGCGACAGGAGCAGAGCTCTTCGCAATGGGGCGGGTTCTCCCTGATCTACGGATGGGGTCACAGAGCCCCAGGGACCTGCCGGGCGAGTCCTTGGGAACAGGCTCCGGGCGTGACTCAGTGCTCATACCAGAGCATCTGCTTCTCTGCCTCTCCAGCCCCGGCGCCCAGGCCGCCCTGCACACGACCAGGCCGCCCCGCCTGCCCTGGCCAGGCTAGCTCCGTAGCCAGCAAACAGCAGCTCCCACCCCCGCATGGAGTAACCCGGCAGGAAGGGGAGGGCGCCGTGCAGGGGCACAGGGAGTGGGGGCAGGGCTGCCAACAGCACCAGCCTGGCAACGCTAGGGGCTGCCCCAAGCTAGCGAGCGACTCAGCCGGGTGTCTATCAAGGGCAGAGGGGACCCTCGTTTCCAGCCAATGGCACAAACAGGGCCCCCTTCGCCCCCCAAAGCAGGGCAGCAGGGAGCATTTGCGAGTTTAAATCCAGCCCCTGCATTAGCTCTGTAAAGGTCTCCCCAAGCGGCAGCGGATGGATCAGTGCAGCCCGGGGCCCCCAGCAGGGCCAGAGCTCTGCGCTCTGCTCTCCCCAGTGCACCCTGGGAACAAAGGGGCTTCTCATACAGACATTTCCCCCATGCTGACCAACCCGACCCAGGGCAGGTCAAGTTGCCCCAGTGGCAAAACTGCCGGTGCCCAGGTCGCCACCACGGGCGCTGGCATGACAGCGGGAGATCTGACAGACAGCTCGGCATGGGCAAGGCCGGACGGCGTGGGCAGGAGAGGAAAGGCCTGGCTGGTCGCGTCGTGGCGCTCCCCCAAGCCAGGGCAGACGCCACAGCCGGCACACCAGCTCCTGGGGTGGGAGCGGCCTGTGCCTTGGGGGATCAGCCTGTAGGGAGCAGCCCCCTCTGCTGGAAAACCTCCCAGCTCGGCATCTAGCGACGCGGTGCCGCAGAGGAGCAGTTCTGCAGCTGGGGTCTGACCTAGATCCGTCACTCAGCTGACTGCGACGCTGCCTCCGGCTCTGAAAGAAACCCGCCGCTCCAGCGGGGCCGGCTGCCATCTCCACGCGGCCTGCACAACGGCACCGTGCTGCGCTCCCCGGACGCCAGGCCCAGCACGAGGGCTAGACGCTCCGGGACCCGGTGCTCCTCCAAACAGAGGGAGACAGGACGGGATGGCATCACTGCCGAGTGCTCGTGTTCATGCCCCCATGGCATCTCCAGGGGTGTTGCACCCGCTTAACAGAAGCAGCCCCCGATTCGGGTGCCTCTGCCCAACCTGCAATGCCCTGGGCCTGGTTTCCAGCGCTCCCGCTGATTTCAGCTCCGTCCAGGTGGCTGGCCAGCCCCTGGGGGCTGAGAACATTTGGGAGCTTTGGCTTAGGCCACTCGTGTCGGTCACACGGCGTGTCGGGGAAGATGTGAGACACGGAACCCAGGAGTCCTGCATCCCCCTCTCGGCTCACCCCACAAAGGGGAAACAGACACCAGAGGGGTCACTAATACCCTGTTATTTGTTGGTTTATCCGTCCAGGTGCCCCTACCAGCTCTCACCAACCATCGCCAGCCTGGGCCTAGGCCTGCTAAGCACAGAACCAGCAACCACCGCCTCGGGCACCGAGCTCGGCTCTCCCGGGCCCAAGGCCAGCCCCGACAGCCTGTAGGGAAGGCAAGTACCATTCTACTCTGCAGCAGCTGGGGCAGGGCCTGCTGCCCCGCTGGCAGGCAGGCTGCCCTCCCTTCTACCAGTTCCATGGCCAATGGTCCAGAGCCTGCCAACAGAAATCTCCCCAGGTGCCATCTAACGGGCTGGCACAGGGCACCGTGCCCTTTGCCCCACCACTGGGGATAAGGATGGCAGACCCTGTGCCTGCCTCCCCCCGCGCATGAGACTCCCGGAGATTCCCGGGCACATTCCAGAGAGCCCTGTGGCCCCCGGGTACGTTACCGTGGGAACGAGACTGTGCCAACGCGCTGACTCGGCCGTCGGCGGCGCTGCAGCTGAGCCAAACTGTTTGGCCGACGCATCTGAGCCGTAGCCAGCAGCTCCCCTGTTACTCCCATCCTGGCCTCGCTCCTTCACCCTGCCTCCTGCCTTCCTCCCCCCCCAGCTCTGCCCCACAATCCCCACCGCTGCACTCCTCGTGAGCGTTGACTCCGCCGGGCAGATGGGCAGACCCTTCCCAGCCTCGTTGGGCATCAGGACAGACTATTCCGTGCACAGCCGTAGCGCCAGGACCCCGCTGCCCTAGGTGCTGTACAAACAGGTCCAAGACGGCGTGAAAGCTGTCTGAGGCGGGGATTGAGTACGAGACAAGAGACAACAGGTGGATCCAGACACACGAGCGGGGAGCACAGGGAGCCAGTACTGGTCGGCAGGATGCATAGTGCACTCAGCTCACCAGCTCCGGAGCCATTGCCAAGTTTTCCCACTGGCCTCCGAGCAAGGGGGCGTTCTGAGGAGGGCGGGGAAGGAGGATGAAGAGGGAGCTTTGTGGATGGTCTCAGGGAGCTCCTCCGAAGCTCCAGGGGCAGCGTGGGAGAAAGCACAAAGGGGCTGGTTTGAAAACGCAAGGGGGCACCGGAGGCTGGGCTCATGGGCTGATAGCGCCTGAGAGGGAGAGTGGGGACAGGCAGTGAAGGGCTTTGAACGTGGAGACAAGTAGTTCCGTGTGATGTGCCAGAGAAGAGGTGGCCGGATGCACAGAGACGGGTGCCACGGTCCAAGCACCAGGCTAGGAAAAGGATCGTGGCAGCAGCATTCAGAATGGAGCCGAGCGGGGACGAGAGAAGAGAGAAGAGCAGAGAGAAGGACGCTGCGGTGATCGAGATGCAAGCTGGCGAGCGCCGGAGCGAGAGGTTTCGCTGTGTGGATGGACAGGAAAGGCAAGGCCGTAGCTCAGGGACGTCAGGCAGGGAGAACTGGCGAGATTTAGACACAGGCTGGATGGGAGCCACTGTCGAGGGGTTTCAGGTGAAGAGGACACCCAGGTGCGGGCCTGAGTGACAGGCATGATTGATCAACACAGGAGGTAGCGGGGAGAAGATGGTGAAGAGCCATGCTGAGCTCGGGCGGGTGGCCGGACACCCCTGGGGAGCTGTCAGAGAGACAGGGCTAGATCTGCGTTTGGCCAGGAGACAGGCTGGAGCAGAGGCAGATCCGTGTGTCGGCAGCACAGAGATGGCAGCTGAACGGGGTTTGCGGAGGAGATCACCCAGGTACAGAGGGAGGAGAGAAGGGGATGCAGGACAGGCCCCGAGGAACCCCCGCAGTGTGCCGGAGAGGGGATGACGAGGATTCTCCGCGTTACCCCCTCTGCCACGCCTGGCGCTGGTGGCTCTCCAGAAATGTCCAACGCCGGGAGCGCCGCCTCGGCCTACTCCCTCTCGCTGGGATAAACCCCTGGTTTTTCAGAGGTTTAATTTCTCAGCCAGCTTAGCAGCTGCAGGAGGGAGTGCCAGCGCAGCCCCCGCAGCAGAGATGCCAGCTGATCCCCGTAATCTCTGGAGGAACACAGCTGTCTCTAAGACAAGGCCCGTCCAAGAGACCCACCGATTAGATCATCCGAGCAGCTTAGAGCAGGAGCGAGGATGGAAAAACAGGTGAATGCAGCAAGCCCATGGCTGGTAGGAAAACATGGCCAGGCCAAGCAAGGGTCAAATCACTTTCCTGCTCTGTGCCTTGGTTAACGATACCCACCAGCTCTGTAACAGACTGAAGGCCGGGGACTGAGAGCCAGTGATGGGTTCTGCTACGTTAGCGTCTCATGCCTGGCGTCTTCCCAAAGCCCCACGTATCTGCCACCCAAGCTAAGGAACTCAGGAGAAGCATCACACCCCGCAAGGGGCAGTCCTGGGCTCTCCCCAGGCCGCAACGACCGACCCACCAGCCCCAGCGCTTGCCAGGGAGCACGACCAACGGCAGATGCTTCGGATGCGGGTGGAATATCCCACAATGCACCTGTGCGGCTGACCCCAGCAGGCCCTTACCAGTGTGTCGATCCCAGAGAGGGTGTGGTTGGCATTGTCGAGGGCATAGATCAGCTGGTACACCCCATCGTTGGTCTCGCTGTTCCCATAGAACCCGATGCCGACGGCAGCGCTAGGGACGAGAGAAAACGCAGGTTAGAGGAGAAGGAAACGGCACAGCTGGGTCTAGGTGCCAGGGGCATGTTATCCACTGCTGACCTGGCACTGCTGTAGCAGAGGAAGGCGAACGAAAGGCAGCTCTCTGAGCACCGTTACAGCACGTTTAGTGTGTGCACGAGACGTGACTCACCCCAGCTGGACGGGCCTCCTGGGGGGAGCGGCCAATCCTGGGCCTCCAACACGGCCAGCTGTGCCAGCGACACTAACCCACTGGGAAATGGAATGAAGCCCCTGCAACTGCTCGCCAGGGCAGCAGGGTCCCTGAGGGTGCCACCGGGCTGTATCCGGCCAGTGCCCTCCTCCAGAACGGGGCGTCACCAGGAGTGGCGGCTCAGGGCTTGTTAAGGGGAGGAGCCGAGGCCAACTATACCATCGCTTCTCCCTGCCCACCCATCGGTTTGGTTCGG